ATTCTATTATATTTATTTTTACATTAATTCTAATTTTTAATATACATAATCAAAACCAAAGAACGGCACTAAAATGTAGTCTGTAGAAATAGAGTATAAATAAAGCCTCATGCTGACCATGTAGCTGCATGATTGTAAAAGAATGTGACACGTTCAAACAACAACATGTCAGCATCAAAAAAATGGGTCTTGTCATTAATTTGCTGTGTAACCTAAACAAACCCTAGTCTAGGGAAGCCTGCCTTAACAGAGCAAGCTTTGTATTATTTAACAATTTGAATCAATATCTTATTATATAAGTCAGTCTGATTTATGTAAAGAAAGGGACTTTTTAGAAGGCAATGGAATTTGATAACAAAACAATGCAAATTCTTTTTATAAATTTTATCCCAGAATTTTCATTTTACTCTAGATTTTGATTGGTAAACCACCTTGGCCCTAAAAATTAGTTGCAGCTTTATCTGTTTATTGAACTTAAAACGCTTATGAAAAATTATTGATTGTTAGACATTTATTAGGCGTCATCTCATGCTTCACAATATGTCTTTTCTCTTGTATTTTGAAGGCACTAAGCCAAAAAGGAATACACGAAAAAAAAAAAGTAATACGAAAAGGAATATAAATATGTTGTCAATGCATGTATCAGCCGACATGGTTACATTAAACGAGGAGAAGAGTATTTTCAGTTTTTAAACAATTTTTTTCAGTGTCTGTGGACAATGCCACAGAAATATCAAAATATCTTCTTTTCATATGTAGTTTAAACTCTTCTTATTTAAATAATGAAAGGAACTAAAGTTGATTAGATGATATTTTAATAATGTTAAATGGTATATAAAACATAGAAAGTGTTATTTTTGTACAAAATGTATGCAAAAAATACCATTTTGGTTCGGGCTAGTTAAAATGTGTTTGGGCTAGTGAAATTTGTAAGCTGCTAGCCCGACTGGGCTAGTGCTGATAAAAAATTAAGGCGAAGACTGTATTCTGGTATCTTTCTGGTCACAATAAATTACAAACAATTAAATAATAAATTCAGAAACACGTTTCATTTCAATCAAAGATATGATACAAGTAAATAATAATCCAAAAAGTTCTGATTTTTAAGAAAATAATATTCATATTCGGTACTCCCATTCATATTCGCGAATATGAGGTCATATTCAGTATTTAGACATACCACAAACTCGGGGGAATAAAAGTAAACATTGGACCACAGGCACGGGTCTCAGACCTGGGAAGAAAATATGACCACATTCAGGGCTCTCTTTTGGTAAAATTTCAGGCCGAATATGGGCCCCATTCCCACATTAAAATAGTGTGTTTTTTCCTCCTCAAACCGAAAAAAAATTCCCCTCGAAAATAATATTTACAGACTTCCCGAAATATGTCGGTCCGACGGACATGTCCGATAAATTTTTATTAGGTCCGACGATTTTATATTCCGGATCGGTCCAATTGTCCGGCTTTTATCCAAGCAGCATGTATACAAAATGGCGTCTCCAAAGGTGCCAAACCTGGGAAAAAACGAAAATCTACGTCAGAGCAGCGCGCAGAACAGCAATAAAAGTATGAAAAGAATAGACCTGCGACAAAATTTACTGAAAAATGGAAGCAGGACCATGAAATGTTGGTGTATGACAGAGAGGAGATGAAAATGCTCTGTACGGACTGTGCCGATTGTTACGGCGAAAAAATTAAAACCGAAAAGTGTCTTAGAAATACAAACACAAGTTAACCTTTGAGTTTGATTAATTTTCTTCGGTCTGACAGATTTCGTTTCCGTCCAACAGATTTTCATGGTTTGTCAGACCGAATGTCTGACACTTTTAAGTTTTTTAACTTTCGGGAAGTCTGTATTTAACGGCCATAGATCAGGGATCACGTTTTTAAGTTGAATTTTTATACAAAGTATCAAAGATGTATTAATTTTCATTAGAAATAACGGAAATTATTATAACGGCACCTTAATTATTCTTGATAAATTTGTTAACTGAATCTTGTTTTAGCTTGTTTCTAATGAATTAATTTTCTTCTGTTGAAATTCCCCCTTGAATGGAAAATATTTGAAAATCATGCAAAATTCCCCTCCTGCATGGACCCTGGCCCCAGTCTCAAAATGCTAACGAGAGCCCTGTCAGACAATGATACAAAAAACCTCTACTCGAATGCTCGTGCCTTAATTGGCTTTGGATTGAACATGTTGAACATGTTGAACTTCAACATTAAATCGGGAAAATTATAACTCATTTCTCTGCTCCTCTACTTTACTTTGGAGAAAATAGCAGTTAAATGTTAGTCTATAAACAAATCAATAAACATCATACCTAAATTGACACATTTCAACAGTATACCACTTTCGGAAGTGTAAACGTCCCCAAGGTGACGAAAACATGTTTTTACTGTTGACTGGTTTACATATATTATTAAAAAATTCGTAAAGGAAAGATTTTATTTTGAAGTCCAGTCAAAAAATAGTTATCGCCCTTTAATACTTTTTCCTAACGGGGGGGGGGGGGGAAGAGAGAAATCCCGGGATCCGGGATCGTATAAGATATAGAGGGAAAACTAATAAACTATCATCCACATACTGCCAGTTTTCAATCACAACCACTTTTCAATCATCCCTGGAAATTCTTTATTTTTGACCTTATTTGTCATGTAACCAAACTGTAAGCACATCTTGTATTTACCTTGACTACATTTATAAGCAGCAATGTCAATTATGGCGTTAAAAAAGAAAATAACAGTATTTTAGTTCAAAATATGTAAAATTTGTGTTTTCTTTTACCCAGTTACAAATCGCAATAATTTTCTAAAAATAATTAATTTACAGACTCAGTTTTTTGTCAGTCTGCAAAATGGATATTAAGTTAGACAACTGTTTCAATATCATTAAGTCATAATGTATACTGCACTTCAAAAGCTATAATTTTAATATGTACATATTTTACCTTACAATTCTTAATTTGAAGGTTATATGTCAGTAAACTAACAGTCACTAAACCAAAGATAACATTCTCTCTGATAACTTTTCAGAAAGCTGTCACTAGAATGGGGTCATATAGACCCTAAGATCCTAAAAATTTCACAAGAACATGCTTTTTCTGTTATGCACATTGAGATGTACATCCATACCCCAATTGTGACAGCTTTACTACTGCAAAAAGATATCAAGATTGAAAAATGTCATTATAAATAGGCTAAAATTGTTTATTACCATTTATCTTAGGTTGAGTTTGTTAAAATTTCTTCAAAATACATAACTGGTTATATTTTAACATTGTATGACAATTTTTATGTGGTACAGTTTATATTTTGTTAACTGATTGAAAAGTGGTTGTGAAATTTTGAAGAACAGGAAAATGGGTCAGTAATGATTTGTCCTCGATTCATAATAATAATTCAGGTAAAATTTTAAAAAGTTGTTGCATTTATTAGCTGAAATGATAATATTTGCAGAATTGTAAGAGAAATTTTATTTTTATAATTTCACTGTCAGTTATTATAGAAAAATCTGTTAGCTGATCGGAAAGTGGCAGTACGGGAATATATTTGTGTTGATTATTGTCGTAATGAAAGGCGATTAAACGTTAAGTTTTTTTTCGTATGTAATGAACGGAAAATTAATTTAAGTTAGGATAAAAATATATTTAGAGCTATTTATTAACAAACTTAAAATGCGGAAATCACAATACTTATACATGTAATTATATGCCTAATTATTTGGAAAAATTAAAGACTATATTCTTGAATTGGTCAATTCCCGGGATCCCTATATGTTTTAAACGATCCCGGCTTCTTAGACTGGTCAATTTCCGGGATCCATATATTTTTTAATACGATCCCGGCTTTTCTGGCTGAATTGATTGACAACTTGTGTTTACTTTTTTTATTGCATATTAGCACTCTTGATGCCCAATATACCATGACTTTCATTGTCATTACATGTACTTACAATAACAAGTAAAATGGTTTCCTGCGGGGAACATTTTTAATGATATAAAAATATTTCGTTTAACTATTTTCAGTATTGTTTGGGGGGGGGGGAGATGAATAAACGCGCGGTTTTATCAGGAATATAGTTGACAATAATCGGTCAATATAGAAGAAGGTCTTTGGAAACTGGTGATCGTTGATGACCGGAGAAGGTCGAACATAAAACAATTATTTCTTTTTAAGAAAATGATTAAATAGGACTACCATTTTATGAATAATTACGAGCAAAAAAAGTAAACACACAAGTTTACGCAGAAAATATCTCTATTTATTCTGGTAGATGCCACTACGAATATTTTAATTTTGTAGATTTTCAGTATAAACAATGTATAGTTTGTAAAATTTGAGATACATATTAAAGAAACATTGATAATTTTCAAACACATCATTCAAGTTTTTCCACCTTAAATGGTAAAATAATTATAGAAATTTAGAAATATCACGCAATAGTTTTTGTTCTTAATTAGGTGTCACTCTGACTATTCCCTAGAGGGACTCGGCCCGGTGAATTTTCGTACTATTAGTTCTATAGTAAATCAGTAAAATTTGAGGTTTAATTCTGGATTCCAATGTTCTTGATGAATTATATACTGTCTTCAACTTTAAGCATTAACACTATCTAAGTCAAATGATGCCCAAAATATAATAGGTTAGCCATCTACTTTTTTCAGAAATCTTCATTCTGTTGTAACACTGTTTAAATTCACCACTTTAAAAACTCCTGACAGCTGGTGGGTAGTACATCTTTAATCCTTCCACCAACAAATGAGTTCCTGGAGAATACACAAAAAACAACTTTTAAAGTCATCATATAACACACAAAAACTACACACATGCAATAAATACACTTTAATTATGAACAATCTAACTAGAGATGACTTAAATTGGGCCATTTCATAATTTTAAAGAACTACTTTCTAGACTACAATGGGCTGGGTCTAATTCCGTACCGGGTTGAGACCAATTCTGACTATTTCCCTAGAGGTAATTCCGTAACGTACCGACAAACGGTATTTAGCCAGGTTTTCGAAAAGGTCAATTAACCAATCATGTACGGTTTACAGATCACATGCTCCTCCATGTACCGAAAACAGGTCACGTGCTCCTCCATGCCTCAAAAGTAAAACGCGTACCAATACCCTGTGGTCTCCAGACCGCAGGGAATAAATAAGATTTCGTTTCGTTTCGTTTAAAGCCTTGATAATGGCCGTGTTGTCACTCCGGTATGTACAGCTAAACTCTGGTATTTCCGATAACGGTAAAAACTCTCAAGTAGGGTTACAATAATTTAATAATGATTATTATGAAATAGAATCTAAACTGAAAAGGGAAAAATTCTTTTGGATGAAGAAGGAAAAAAAATCTTTTGGATGATTTGACAAATTCATTTGCAATATTTGACAACTCTTGTCTATGGTCTTTGAATTGGTCTTCTTGTATGTCTGACAGCAATAGTTCTTTTGTAAATACACTTATTCCTGTCTTTAGGAATATTTCTTTCTTCAGGTTTTCTCTTGATGTCTCGTACAGGGTACAGTCCTCTATAAAATGTGTTACTGTCTCAACTTCTCCACAATTACATAGACTTGTGTTTTTAGACCCAATCTTGTTCAAATAATCATTGAGGCAATATCCACTTTGTAGTTGAAGTAACTGTCTTTGGTTGCTCAAGCCATGGAAGTTAATTTTTTGGGGGTTGGACTTGAGGCTTGAGTCCATAGAGATGCCTGCCAGTTTCAACAATTTCCCATCTTTTCTGCCATTTAATGCGGACTGATTCTCTAGCTGAGTGGCGAATGTCACTTTGACTTGTTACAAGGAATGAATCTTCTGTTTCCATTTCCTCAGCTTCTTTTGCTGCTTCTTTTGCAAGTCTGTCAGCAATGTCATTCCCTTTTATGCCAGCATGAGCAGGAGTCCAATCAAAATTAACAGTAACATCTGCTAATTCAAGCTCTTTCCTCAACTGGAGTATCTCTGTTGACAGGAATTTGTGTGTCTTATTTTCCCAGCCAAGATCAATAATTCCAACAGCGGACTGACTATCACTAAGTATTTTTATCTTATTTATTTCAAATCTTCCAATCTCAGTAAGTAGGGCTTGAAGTGTTATTTTAATGGCAACCAGTTCTCCTACTAAAATTGATGATAATTTTGATACTGGTTGTTTCAGTTCTATAACTTCTGTGTTTGGAAGAAGAATGCAGGCTCCAGCACCACATGGACCTGGATTTCCTCTACAGGAACCATCAGTAAATGCTACAGCTGTTTTGGTATCTACATCAGATAGAAGTGATGAGATGTGTTGTCTTGCATCTTCTTCTTGTTTAACAGTTCTTGATTTGGAGGATCCTAGATTGTTCCAATAATCTGGTCTGGTTCTAGATGGTTGCAGGTATTCAAGGTATGAAAACTCTGGTTCAATACTGTTCAGTGTGATGGTGGTTAATGATTTCATGTCCTCTACCTGTGTGAGCATGCAAAAGAATGGAGATTGGAATTTTTCTCTGACTTTTCCATATCTATCTTGACAGCTTTTTAAACTTTTTGCAATGTTTTGCCTAATATCTTTTGCCATTATTTTCCCACATTCTCGAATACTCAGTTCTTCTCGCCTCAAATCAAGTGGAAGAACTCCAGCCAATACTTCAACTGCATCTTTACTGGCTGTGTTGTGTAATCCAAGGCAGTAAGCTAAACCTTTCCTTTGTATCTTGTCCAGGGGCTGACAGTTGGCAATCTGCCAAATAGGGACTGCATACTCCAATTGAGGTAGAACCAAGCTTGTATATAGATTTATCATATTTTTGACACTGATCTTCTCTGTTTTGGCTACTGACATCAAGGAAGCTAATGCTTTAGTGCCTTTTCTTTCAGTGTATTCTATATGTTCTTTGAATGACAATTCAGAATCTAAAATAACACCTAAGATTTTTACTTTATCTTTCTGTTGCAATACTTTCTTGTTTAAGCAGATCTCTATTTGATCTAAGTTTTCTTTTTTCCTATTAAAGATGGTGTATTCAGTTTTATCTAAATTTAATTTCATTCTCCATTTCTCTGTCCATGTGTTAATTGTTGCTAGGTCTGTATTGATTATTTTTTCTAAATCATGTTTGTCATTTCCAGACATCCAAATAGTCCCATCATCTGCAAATTTGATACTATTGCTTTTTATGTTTTGGAATATATCAGTTAGGTAGAGGTTGAACAAAAGGGGGAAGAGCACTGAACATTGTGGTAATCCAACTGAAGTTTGGAAGGTATCTCCTATTTCACATGCTACTACACATCTTGCTGATCTTCCAGTTAAGAAGTTTGACAACCATTGCCACATTTTCCCTCTTATTCCCAGTCTTTGTAGCTTAACAAGCATACCATCCCTCCATACACTGTCAAAGGCCTTCTCCAAATCTAGAAATACTGCTAGTGTGTGCTGTTTTTCATTAAAACCATCAAAGATATTCTGCACAAGCCTTAACAGAGCTTGTGTAGTGCTGTGATATTTTCTAAAACCTTCTTGTTCTTCATCTATGATGTTCTTGTGTTCTGAGTATGCATATAATCTGGCATATACTATTTTCTCCATACATTTACCAAGGACACTTGTCAAGCTTATAGGCCTGTAGGAACCTGACTTATAATAGGACTCTTTTCCATGTTTCTTTAAGAATTTGACTGTTGCTGTTTTCCAGGCCTGGGGAAGAATACTGGTATCCCAGGAGAGTTGAAAAATATATGTGATGGCTTCAAGAAGGTGGTTATTTGAGTATAAAAGTAAATCTGTGTATATTTTATCTGGCCCAGGTGCTTTATTTTTCTTTAAATGCTGGATAGCTGCTTCTACCTCTTGAATTGTAATAGATCTATTAAGGAAACTTTGGCTTTCATCTTCTTCTGTAACATGATGTTTACTTTGTTTGATGTTAAACAATTCTTCTTCAATATGTTTCTTGAAATCTTCATCAAAGGTGACATTTTGTAGATGTTTATCACTGAAAAAGGTCTCTTCTAGCAGTTTTGCCTTTTCTTTTCTATCAAAAATCACATCACCATTACTGTTAACAAGGGGGAGTATAGTATCTACATCTTCTACTTGATAGGATGTTAAACTCTTAAAGTACCTCCATTTCTCTTTTGGAGTATTACACAGATTTATGTTTTCACACAACATATCAGCCCATTCATCTTTAGCTTTTTCAATTTCCTCTTCATACTTTTGCTCACATTCTTTCAACTTTATTAAATTTCTAGGAGTTTGTCTTTGCTTGAAAACTTTTTTTTAATTTATTTAGCTCCGTTTTTATAGTTTTGACTTCTTCGTTGATCCAGGGTTGGTGTACTCTCCTGTTGCTATATTTGGCAATTTTTTGGGTACAGCTTCAGCCATACAATTATGAAAAAATTCTAGAAAACAGGAGTATATATCTACAGTGTTTAATTTTGAAAGTTTTCAGATTTCCATGAGGAAAAACTCTCTTTAGTGCTTGCTTGCCATTTGAGGATATCCATTTCTTTGATACAAAATATTTCTTTTTCCACAGGTCTCTGATTACAGTAGTCATCTATGTCCAAAAAAACTGCGATATGGTCTGACCTAACATTTTCTTGATTTAAGGTTTGACACAGTCTAATGTCTTTGTTTAAATGTGGCTTTAAAATAAACAGATCAATAACACTGTTACTGTTTCTTCTTTTTGTAGGCTCCATATCATTAACACAAATAAAGTTCTCTGACCATAGACAATCCTCCAGTTGTTCCCCTGCATTATTATTCAACAAATTTCCCCACAGTTTACTTTTTGCATTAAAATCTACTGTTAGAATGATGTTTTTAAACATACTGTTACACTTTTTTATTAGAGATATAAGTAGCGTTATTTGCTCTTGATTACCTGGTGGAATGTAAGCTGTAATTAATTGTGTGTGTGTGACATTCTGAGGTCAATTAATTCACGCATTGTCTGTGAAAAAATACGTTATTTTTAAAGATTTTTTATAACTACTACAAACTTATTCAGAAATCTCTACAAAAACATTCAAATGATGATAATAATAATAATAATACACCGAGAGTAGGTGGTCAATTCCCGGGATTACTGTATGTTTAATACGATCCCGGATCCCGGCTTTTCCTTAGGCGATCCTACATCCCCAAATTTCATTGGTTCAACCAATCAGGTTAAATATTGTAAACAAGAGCGCCGTTTACAAAAGGTAATAATAGAGATAAAATAAATTTTCTTGTAGAAAGAATTGTTACAGTCGGGAGAAAAAAATCTGTAAGAACTTTGAAGGCTATACAGTACTGTAATCTAGTAGACTACTGTCAGTATATGTCATTTCAAAATACACTCCGGTGGCAAGGCGTTTCGTTCTCACTACGTTTCGCGGTTTAAATTTTTTAACAAATTTAGCTTAACAATATTCCTTCTAGGGCAACACTTAATTAATGAATATTAATCTTTATTAATGTAGTTATGAACACGAGTCCTGGCCTAGCGGTTATAAAACCTTTGAGTTTTGCTACAAATCTCTTTATTTTCATTGGTCAGTGAACATTCAAAGGGGTTTCTGACCAATCAAATACCTTAGCCGAGAGAATGTCATTATAACTTCGGACCAAGGAATAGGTGCTTGAAAAAAAGATTTACATGTTTCTTTAAAGATACAGGTTGGAGAGATAACTCCGATATATTTTTTGCAATATCTTTATTATCTTCCTGTATTATTTAAAGGGATATTCAGGCAAAATAATGACAAAAATATTAAAATGATCTTAAATGTACTCAAATCACGCAAAAATGACTTTTCTTAAAGTTTCAGCATGAATTTCTGTTTCTATATATTTTGGGTTGAAGCGTAAATATATCTATAGCTCAATATTGCCCAGACACAAAAATAGCACAATATCTCTTCGCGCAGTACAATTAGTTGGACTAATTTTACCCCACAACAGTAGATAAAGTCGACACTTAAATTTTTAAGTAAAAATTGACTGGAAAATCAGCATCAATAATTTACTTTTATGTTGTATAATTATGTTTTATCTATTTTTTGTTGATATAAAAACATTTTTTCAAAAAAATTTCCCAAGTCAGTGGCCTGTGGTCAATACAATTCTAACTACCTAAAAAAAATGTTTGAAGCAGTTTTTGAAAACAAAATGTTCAGCTTAATTGAAAAATATTAAAAAGTTTACCAACTTACAAAAAATTATCTCATTCTGTCCTGCTCCTATATACTACTAGGTGACCATATGCTTGTTTGTTTTAAAACAAAAATATATAACAAATATATTTATCAAGTGTCAGGGTTATCTATTCTATGCGTCAGAGTTATCTCTCCGACCAGTATATATTTTATATAAAGGCTTGATAGTGTTCTCAGAAACAAAATTGTAGGAAACAATGCTGCAGATCATGTACATACATGATTCCGACTTGATTGTCGTAACCAATAAATTCATTTACAATGAAGAACTATGGTCGTTCACTCATGCTCGATTACTGTTAATCAGTATCATGATAGACAGTGTTTTTTTTCAGTACTTTGGGAATGGTGCCGGTACCGGACAGATTAGGAAAAATTCCATCGGTTTGACTCAAATTGGGAATTTTATTTTAGATGCAAAAGATTTATTGGGAATTTCTTTTAAAAATTTGCATAATATACACCTGTAAACCATGTATTATTACCTTTAATGATTTATTTTGCTACTTGAGGTTGAAAAAAAGAATTGATAATCATAACAATTGTACATAAATAATGTTTAGGTGTGAAACATTAAAAGTACAAAATGAACTGGGTACGAATATCACTCATGTGGTTATACTTGGTTTTTATCGTATATCACTTATCAATATGGAAGCATCCATTACTGTTTTTGTGATTTCGAGACGTTTCGGCACCAAGACGTATCGGCCCCAAATTACCCAAGACGTTTCGGCCCCGGACGTTTCGGCCCTTTACCAAATCGGGCCCCATATTTAGTTAAGAATAAGTCTTACCTTAACGTGTTTTATACCAGAATTTTAATAGCATATAAATAAATGAAAGAATAAAAGAAATGAGAGAATTAATTGAATAATTAAATTATGATTTTTTAATTGAATGAGGCTAAAATATTAGTAGTAATCAAAACAAACAGAACATAAACTTTATTAAACAAAACATAGTACACGAATACTGAAACATATTTTATCTGCTTATTATCAAGACACAGAACAATACAAACATTTATTATCAACAACTATTAAATTAAAAGTAAGTGACGAGTTTTAGCAATACAATACAACACATAACAGTTAAAAAACATGTAAGATAAAACAAAAAATTCATTGTAAACAGACTTTTTAAATATATATAAAAACAAACATTTTTTACAATAAAAGTGATAGATTTTCAATCAGAGCATACTTTATCAAGAAATTATATCAAATCATAAGTTAAAAAAATAATTTTGTTAATCAAAAAGTTTTTACATTTGTCAACTGTCTTATAAATTAAAGATTAAATGTCTTTATTTAGATGTATTTATTGTTACACCTTGAAAAAAAAGCATTATTGATAGATCTATAATCAGGTACGTTAATATACGTACCTGCTATAATCGATTATATATTAAGGATTAAAATGTCATAATATCCACGGGGGTGGAACCCCATATGAATCTCAAAAATTAGCATTGGTAAAAATGATATGTGAATTTCCGCTGCACCAGATGTGAAGCATAACATCAGATGTGACTGGAAAAATAGGCAAATCTTCTTTGATCTTTTTTTAAAAGTTTATCATTAACTTTCATACAGCATCATAACAAATTCAAACACGCTTCACATTACTCTCCTATTAAGCAGTCGAGTGAATAATTAATTAATTAATTAATTAATAATGCATGGTGGCATAAAAGGGAAAGATTGCAGTACACACAACGTCAATAAGTCAAAAAAGCAAGGCCTTCCCACCATATCTACGTATTTTAAAAACCTTTCGTATGCAGAATGTCTTATATCTCTTTCTATATGGATACTATGTTATTCAAGCTTGTCTCCTGAAAATATGTCTATTTCGGATAATAGTATTTATTACAGAATGATACACAATAGAAGAAATTCTAGATTGTTGCAAATTTTTCATGCTATGCACATATGAATCTCTTCAGCACATCTGGAGCTCAAATGCAATTTTGAGCAGCGATTCCCTTGTATGTAGCCAAATCTCAATAAATATATAAAACATGATTTGTTTGAATGTTTAGCATCGACCTGTAGTGAGATTTCGTAAAATCTATGTTTTTTTTAGTCCGTTTAGTGACATTTTCTTCATTCATATTGCATGTTTTGGACACACCAGAACCCACGACGGAAAGAATATCTCGATGAAGACTGCATAGAAATCCAAAACAACAAGGGGTAATATAGAGGAGAGTCAGGAGGGTAGAATCACATTTCGATTTTCTTAAAAAAAGGATTGAATTTTATATAAATGTTTGAAAAGATGAAAACTTACCCTGCGATCGGCCTATTTTTCCAGTCACATCTGATGTTATGCTTCACATCTGGTGCAGCGGAAATTCACATATCATTTTTACCGAGGCCATCCTTAAAAAAATGTTTGTTTGCAGTAACGCGACCGACTCACAAAATTTGCCCCAACTCAAAATTTTTTTTCATGGTCTAGATAAAAAAAAAAAATTTTAAATCAGAAAATTATGCCTTGTATTTTGTTTTCGTTCTTTTAAAGGTTAATAGAAGAAATAAAATGTAGGTCTTATTAAATTAGAATTCAGTTATCAATATATTAATTGTTACCAGATTATCAAAGCATATATTGTCCAGCATTTTGAAATTCCATGTTTATTTGGGAGTACAGTTCAATAAAAAAAAATCAACCTAAATAAACCTACCTACCCACCTTGAAAATTCTGGGTCGGGTTACTGCAAACAAACATTTTTTTAAGGATGGCCCGATGCTCATTTTTGAGATTCATATGGGGTTCCACCCCCGTGATATCAATATACTACAATTTTTAACGATTTTAAGTATAAAAATGCCTTTTATACTTAAATAAAACTAATAAAAAAGGGCCGAAACGTCTCACGGAAAAGGGCCGAAACGTCTCGGGGCCGATTTTTGCAAAGGGGCCGATTTGGTTTGGGGCCGAAACGTCCT